TTTAATTGTATCCTTTGGTATATATGGTTGTGACTATTTTCTTCCACTATTTGATCTGAAGAAGTGGGTCTTGCCCACGAAAGCTCATCATCTAATAAACCATCTTGTTAGTCTTTAAAGTGCTACATAGTCCTGTATTTTGTTTCAGCTACACCAGACTAACACGGCTACATTTCTATCACCAGTAAATTCAGAAACAGACACGCTATCCCAGGAGCTGACACATGCCTTTTTCTGGGGCTTCACTGCTACCTGACTGGCTCTTTCCCAGAACTCTGGCTGGATTTTAACTTTTCAGTTAACTTGCTTCCTCCTGAGAGGGTCTGAGCCACAGCGCAGGAATCAGACATTAAGACCCAGCAATGCCCCAACTTTTCGGGCGCCCAACACAGGGGCCTATTCTGCCTGTGGGTCCGGACGGCTCTGCCGGAGGGCACGTCAATGCAGCCCTTGGAGGTGTGATTGCGGCGCACTCACACGTGGCTAAAAACAGCAGTGAGGAACTAGCACCCTGAGCTTCAGCGTGGACGCATGATGCACGTGTGTCCCCAGCGTGAGGGCACCGTTGACGCCGAAGCCCTGAAGCGCAGGACAGGTGGGGCTCCCGACCCTGCCCTAGCTCCTGGGGCAGGTGGGCCTGGGTGAATGGAGCCCCCACATCCCCTGCAATGTGGGACAGGTACCAGCCAGCACCTACATTCCAGCCAGAGGCCGTCCTGATCAGCTGTTTGTCGGCTCAGCGCGCTAGTCTGGACGCTCCCGTGCCGACCTGAAAGCCCTTTATCGACCTCCCCGTTCTGCCTCGTAGGATGAGGTTTACCGGGAGGGTCGATAAAGGGCTTTCATGTCGACAGGGGAGCGTCCAGACTGGATCAGCTGTTTGTCGGCTCAGCGCGGCAGCCATGTAAATTTAAATGAAGCCGCAATTATTTAAATCGCGGCTTCATTTCCCTCTGCCGAACAAACAAATCTACATGGCTCCGTCGACGGAGCCATGTAGTTTAGACGTACCCATAGAGACGAACAGATGTTTTGAAGCATGAGCTTTCGTGGGCAAAGACCCATTTCGTCAGATGCGTGTCTGAAGACAGAAGAGGAGAAGTAAGGCACCCCTGGGGACAGAACATGGGTAGGGCCAGGCTGTTGGCCTCCCCCGGCCCATGGCACCCCCTTCCCATGCCACGCCTAACTTCATGTAGATGGTTTTGGCTGCTGCCAGCACCAGTTTGACCCTGGCGTGGAGGCCTGGCTTTGCAGTGGTTCGGCCGCCTCTCTAACCCACCAGGCTGCGGGAACAGCACCGTACATGGATCAAAGGCCCGCGCTGGCTGGCTGCCCTCAAGAAGGAAATTGGAACCTTATCTCTTCGTGCAAGCTGTTCGCGTCAAAGATTTCTCTCTAGAGGAAGCTTATCGAATGGGGAAAACATGGCGGTGCCCTTGGACTGATATTTTTCAGGGAGCATTAATTTCTAGCGGGTGGGGAGGGGGAGAGATTTGCCTCTGGGCCTAGTAACAACAGACCTCTTGGATCTACTCGGGCATTCAGAGCTCTTGAGTTCTCCCAGAGCAAGAGTGTTGGCCGGTGCTGTCTGCTCTGTGGCATCCCTGGAAAACGTCGTGGCACAGAGCTGCCCTTGGGACGCAGGGGTTTTCTTGGGGTTGTGCAGAAGTCCTGGGCGCTCTCGCCACGTATCCTTTTAGCCACAGGGTGCTCCACGTTGGTCCGTGAGGAGTTGGGTGGCGACTCACTTTGGGGTCCCGTGTTCCCCGTAAGCTGTGTGCTTGCGTGGCCGCTCAGGAGAGACTCAGATGCTGCCCAGCTGATTAGCAGAGCACCTACAGCTAGGCTGTATGTTTCTACTGGCGGTGCACATTTGCACATGCTTTGGTGCAGGTAAAAAATTATTCCGCACATGGATGGAAAAGATTTAGAGAGAATTTTGGGCATGACCCCGTTTGAATGGCTAGTGTTAGGCCAGGGCTGGTGTTAGGCTGGCTGGGGCCCAGGGCTTTTTTTGGCCACACTTATCCAGTGTCAGTGGGGTGGGGCTCCAATGGCAGCTGGGAGAGTCAGGTCTCCCCCCC